TCCATCCATCCATCCATCCATCCATCCATCCATCCATCCATCCATCCGGTCTCAGAGGCTGCAGAGAGGCCCACTCATCTTTCCACAGTTGCCTCTTCCAGCTCTTCTAGTAGAAATCCAGGCCAGCCGTCATGCAAATCATCCAAAGTAAATCAAAAACCCAACATTTTGATTTAGTGAACAGAAACTGAGGTGACCACTGATTCAACAGAGGAAAAAAAACCCCCAAATCAATAGCCTGGATGGGAATAATCAGCAAATAGGGCGTAAGAAAAAATGAATTACAAACTAAAACAGGAAGGAAAATTTGCCAGGATTCAGAATATAGAAAAAAGACAAAAACCAAGAGGCAAGATTGTTGTCACGGCCGACTTCAGTAACCAGAACCACAGAACATGACACATTTAGAAGGTGAATAAACAATTGGTCTGATAAAAACAGTGATTTATTTTTTATGGTATAAACAAATATCCTGCTAGTCTCACCATGACTGTGTCAAAGGCCGGATGTGTCGTAAACTAACATGATGTTTTGGTGTCTTTACAGTTCCCAGTGCAGCCACTATAGCTGGGATATCAGCTGGTCTCGTATGTGGTTTAGCAGCCGTGACTCTTGGTACCGTTCTGCTGTGCAGAAACTGTAAGTATCTCCTAACTGTTGACATTTTAATAAAAAGGTTCTGTAAACACGATTTTGTTAGAGATTTGACCCTCATTAATATTTCATTATCTGGTGTAACAGATTATAAAAAAAAACCAAAAACTAACAATATTGAAAAAGTAACAAAAAAACAAAAACATTTTTTTTTTGTTGTAAATTTTTATAAAGACCCAAACTATTTATATATATTTTTAAGAACTTGAAATCATTCATTGAGAAGGTTTAGATTTAGATTCTAACAGTGTTTTGGGGTTTGCGTGAATTGGAATGATTTTATACCAATTTTGAACCTTTTGTGAGCAGATTTACATTATTTTGTTTGCTTGCTTTTGCTTGAAATAAAATAAATAAACAAACAAATAAATAAATAAACAACCTAAAATTACAAAAATCAATTTGACTGCATAAAGGGAAGAGTTTTTTTTCTTTCTTTACACCTGCTCATCTTTCCATCCATCCATCCATTATCTTTACCCGTTTATTCCATTTTGGGTCACGGGGGTCGCTGGTGCCCATGTCCAGCAATCACTGTGCGAGGGGCGGGGTACACCCTGGACGGGTCGCAAGTCCATCACAGGGACACATAGAGACAAACGAGACAAACAACATTCACTCTCTCACTCACACCTAGGGACAATTTAGAGTTACCAATCAGCCTAACATGCATGTTTTTGGTCTGTGGGAGGAAACCGGAGCACCCGGAGAAAACCCACGCATGCACGGAGAGAACATGCAAACTCCACCCAGAAAGGCCCCTGGACCGGGGTTTGAACCAGGGACCTGCTCACTGAGAGGCAGCAGCTCTACCAGTTGCGCCACCGTGCTGCCCTTGCTCATCTTTCCATGCAGCAGAAAGTTAATAAAGTGCTTTGAGTAATATAAACTTATTTATTTGATAAAAAAAGTTTGAACAAACTTTCTTTCTGCAATATACAATCATAGTGTATTGGATATTCTTTGAGTTTCATGCAGGTCATTGCAGAGACCTTTAAAACAGCACAAGACAAATTAATTTGTCACGTGATCAGCTGCTGGTTCAAATTAAATTAAGGTGTAAACATGAAATCAGGCGGCACGGTGGATCAGTTGGTAGAGCTGCAACCTCTCAGAAAGAACTCACTTCACCACTTGCTCTTGTCAAGGGCGGACACGTTTCCCCTCCTCTCCCTCTGCTTTGCTGCTCTGTCCTGTCTGTGAAACTGCATCAGAGCCTCTCTCTACACATCTTCCAAACCATGTGAAAAACTTAAAAGCAGTGAGAGATGGAGCCTGCCTGACATGCAGTAACTCATTCCACAATCTTGGACCTGTAACAGAGAAAGCCCCGTCACCTCTGAGCTTAAAATGAGTGCCTGGAACCAGTAAAAGCGTCTGGTCTGCTGACCTCAGAGAGCGCTGTGGGACATATGGCTGCAGCAGATCATCGAGATAGGAAGGGGTTAATCAGGGATCTGTTTTTTGCAGCCACATGGAGCGTTTTTTGTTTGTTGCTTCAGTCTTTTTGTTGGCACTTTTGCACTGCAGCATGAAAAATCCTTATCCACATTTTGTTTACATAAAAAATAGCGAATGGTGGCTTTCAGTTTATTATGATGCTAAGTGTCGCTAGCTTTTTATATCAAACATAGTGGCCCAAAGGTTATTAAAAGACCAATAAGCAAAACTTTGAAAAATAGATTTTTAACAACACCCCTGAAAGTTAAATATCCACAAATTGAAACAAATGACTAAATCAATGTGCAACCAACAGGTTTGTTCTTGGTTAACAGAAACAACAACAAAATAGGAACAGATGCTCAGTTGATCGATGCAAAATCTTTCTTTGTTTTTGAGAATTGCAACTGGACTAAAATGCTCAAATAAAAATTAAAACTTTGTCTTGCATGAAACAACAAACTAATTCTATAAAACACTGCTTTAATCTTCTCAGCACTTGTAATTTATAAAGTTCATTAAAGTCTGTCATTCTGTTTGAAGCATCACCTAAAGTAAAACAAAAAGTTAATATTAAATCTCTAAACGATACAAACTTTATCTTTTATGACTGACCCACAGGGAAAAGAAAAGGCTGTGAGAATACTTTGTATGAAGTTCCTCAGGTAAGCAGCAGTTTCTTTCATTTAAAGGAAAACTCTCTCTGTTTGCACGTCAAACTGAACAGAAATGTGATAAATCTAAAACTGGCTGCCAAAAAAACCCAAAATAATTATATGTAGTTTAGAAAATCAGCCATTTTAAAGCACAATCCAGACTAAAGCTGCATGCAACATAACACTTTTCTACTTTTTCTAAATAACCTACATCTGCGTTTTAACTCGGATGCTTCAGCCAGTCTGCTTAAACTCAGTCGGCTGCAGATGCTTGACTTGTGCTGCTTTCTTTTGATTTTACGTTAAGTAAAGACGCACATCTGATCCATTTTCTTACACTTGCAACCCAAATTTTATACTTTATATAATGTATTGCATTGTTTTTGTTTTTAACACAACACTTCTGCTTTTTTTTTTCTTCTAGAACATGAATCCAAATGCATATGACACTCATGTAAGAGATGCTTTAGATTTTTCTCCAACATCGACGTACGCTTTGGTGCAGCTCGCCACCCGTCCTGCTCCAAAAGAGGAGAGCGCGAACAAAGTCCAGGCAGAAACAGTTTATGCACAGATAACGAGGATGCCCAAACCCAGCTCCGCAGCTCCGACTGTCGTGGAACAGTCAGCAACGGAAAAGCAAAAAGATTCAGTGTTATAATTATTTAAAAATTAAAATTTTAAATAAATAAAGCTAGTGAAATTTTTGTCAGCATTTTTGTATAATTGCTGTTTTGTCCAACAAGATCTTATGAGGATCATAAGCTACGTGAAAATCTTAAGTTACCTGTGTAGCATGCAAATGAGCTCCTCTGCCTTTGACCTTTGACCTGAAATGTTCAGTAAAACAACAATGAATCTGTCAAAAAGTAATAATAGTTTAGATTGTTCATTATTGTTTACCACTTTTCATGCAAGTTATTCTCCAGATTTTTATCCTTTATCATGTGTGTTGTTCATATTGTTTATTATATTGATAATTCTTGATTAATTATTTTTGTAATAAAACTTCAAAGCCAAGTTTGGTCTCCTCATTTGGATGAATATTTATTTTTTAGTAGAATTCCCTGTTTAATTAACAGATACTTCAGTGACTTGAGTTCTGTTTATTAAAGACTGTATATATTAAATAAGTTGTATTTTCCCCTCATCAACATGAGAACCTCTGACAACTTTATTGATGGATATTTCACCAAAATGACAACGAGGAGGGAAACGTGTCAGGAGACACAGGGAGGAGAAGAAAGTCAAGAATGTAGGACCGAGGGTTGTAACTCTAAATGTAGGGACAATGTAGAGAGCAGGCTGGCATGATGCTGTAGTGAACTAGGCCTCCGACCAAAACCTGCCTCTGAAGACCTTCATGGGACAGGAACTGTTATTTCATTCATTTGAATCCAGAAATACAAATTAGCTCATCCAGAGACTGTTAATTTTATCCTGAATTAATCAATTGAAAGAACACTCTTCTTTTTATATTATCATTACTATTTTACAATATCTTGATAATCAAAAGTGTGTTTAGTTCACATAATTTCTAATGTTGAAGTGAACCACTCATTTGAATCAACTGTGAAACAGTATTAATGATTTTTTAAACCTCATTAGACTTAGAAATCAAGTTAAATGTCTATTTACAAAGTAATTATGCATTTTGATCTTCTGTCTGAATGAAAAGTAGTGATGTTGGTCGAAAGTCAGAGACAGACAGAGACGAGTTATTAGAACGAACTGTATTGTTTTTAAACCTAGCAGACGGTAAATAACTGCCACTGGCATCTGCGTTCCTCTCACTTCTTCAAAACATTTCTCTGTCTGTACTAAACGTTCCTAAACATTCCTGAACCCTCTCTTGACTTTTAATAACCCTCTGACACCACTAGAACCACCCCCTGTTGGTTGTTTCAACCAATCAGGAAGTACTAAGTGACCGGAAGTGAAGACTCTTTTAAAAGTCGACACTTCCTGGAACTATTCAGTCTTCTTGAGTCTTGGACTGGAGTCTTGGGCCAGTCAGACTCAGTCTTTGATGGAGTCTTCTCAAGCCTTCTGGAGTCTTCCACTTTGAGTGGAATCTCTGACGGAGTCACAGATCCTTGCTGTGAACTCACCCGGGCGTAACGCCTACAACTTCGAAGGAAGCCTGTTTGTTGAACTGAGTAAATCGACACGACTTCTGACAATGACCAGCCGCTTTAACAGGAGACGCTGGAAAGGTAGCGTTGAAATGGACCCGGTACCGGAGCTGATTCATCTTCTGCGAAGGTAACGAGTCGTTGCGCGCTAAGTGTACCGGAGATTTGAGCTGGACACTGCTCGAGCGCCACATTCAGCATGTTCCACCAAAGCTTCACCTCACACACAGAAACACAAACTTTTTCTTCTGGTTCTAATCATCGTTCTTTGATGCTGACACCTAAATAAAAGTCTGCATGCTTTTACTGGTGAATCAGTTTCTGGTTTCAGTTTGTTCTGGGTTCTGCTCGATGTCCCAGGGTCACATTTTGTGAGGTTTCACCAAAATGGCTCCAACTTTGTCATTTCACAATACATGGGCGTAAATCCTGGGGTGTTGGGAAAATCTGGGCTCCCTCAGTTAAAAAAAAAACAGAGATGGACCATTCCAGTAAATCATTTGAGAAACTATCCTTTTAAAGCAAAATAATATTAAAACCAGAAACCACTTCAAATGCACTTATGAGGAAGATCTGATGGATGAAGAGGAGAACGGATGCTAATGCTAATGCTAACTGGAGGAAAGTGGCACAAAGCAACTGTTTGCTGTCAACATCTGGATCAATTGTATTCTCGTACATATTAGACGAGTACATCATCATATAATAATAATAAGTCATTATATAATATTAGAATATTGTAGCCCCAGTTTTTATTTTTTATTTACTCTTTACCATAATAAGTCAAATACACATATTAGAACACTCCCATCACCCTTTGGAGCACAAGTTAGGAGTCATCAGGACTCTGTACCACAGAGCAGACAGCGTCCCCACTAACTCAGGAGCCAGGCAGAAGGAGAAATCCCACACAAGACAGGCTCTAGAGCAATGTGGATATCCTAACTGGGCCTTCCTGAAAGCAGAGAAGAAACCCAAACAGGACTCCAGTCAGCCATCAGGTGAAAAGGAGGAACCCAGATCCAGACCAGTGGTCATTCCGTATGTTGAGGGGGTATCAGAGAAACTGAGACGTTTATTTTCTAAACATAACGTCCCAGTGGCTTTTAAACCCCAAAATACATTAAAGACTGGTTCATCCCAAAGATCCAGTCCCCCGGCACAAACAGAATAATATTATGTATGCTGCTCAGTGTCAGGAGGGCTGTGATCAGTCTTACATCGGGGAAACAAACAGCCACTGGCCAAAAGGATGGCCCAGCACAGAAGATCAACATCATCAGGCCAGGACTCTGCGGTCTACACTCATCTCCAGGCCAGCGGTCACTCTTTCAGGGATGAAGATGTTCACATCCTGGACAGAGAGGAACGATGGTTTGAGAGAGGAGTAAAGGAGGCCATCTTTGTGAAAAGAAATCGTCCATCATTAAACAGGGGTGGAGGCCTACGGGTTCAACTGTCCCCCTCTTACAATGCTGTGATTGCTAGTATCACTCAGCCCTCTGTGAACAGTAAACAGCCATCAGTGTGCTAATGATCCATTGTTAGGCTGATGGTCCTTCTTGAGCATGTGATCAGCTGGTTTTGGTTGTCAGCAGCAAAACTGGTTGATCCACTCTGAGAAGGTGCTATTTAAGAGACTGAGCTGAAAACAGCTCCTCAGACTGAGGAAGTCTCTCGGATGAGAGACGAAACGTTTCTACATTTTTTTGCTTTGTTTTGTTTTTTGTTTTTTTTTTAATGTCCAGAGGACCAGATTGAACTTTTTTGGATTTTTCTACCTGGGTTATTGAGCATGCATCAGGATAAATGTAGTGAATTATAAAAATGGATCCAAAAGTGTGACGTCATTGTAACAAGTACAATTTAATTTATTTGATTGCACATTTTTTTATTTTAAGTTTTGATTCATTTTTTTATGATGAACTTTATTTTTCATGTCCTGTTCAAGATAGCAGAAGTTAGCAGGTCTTTGGAGGGCGGTGAAAAGATTTCAGGATGTGCTAATACAGAAACAGAAGCAGTGAAACTTCCTGACACTTGTAAAATGAGGCTCATCGCACGCTGTGCTGCTTTGTTGGCTTATTTATGGCAAATACACGGTAATAATGACTTTTTTTTTCTAATATTTAAAGCTTTTACTTACTTTTACTCGAATAATTAATACAGTGTCACACTTGGTGCATCACAAGTTAAAGAAAAAACAGACTAAAGCCGAAGTACAACTTTTTTTTTTTAATCTGTGAACCTCAATATGTTAACAATAAATCAAAAGTCTTGTGCAGAAGATTAACTGTTTACTTTAGGGACTCCAAAATGCAAATGGTTTTTGTTACAATAAAACTTCAAAAACAATCAAATTTGTTTGATTGACAAAACTCGAGTTATAAACGTCTGCCAAGACACAAGTTTACAGAAATATGATTTTGATCACTAAACCATTTCTAAGTGATTTTTTGCGCATATTGCAAAATTTTTTTTTACCCTTATATGTTAACAAGGAGCATTTCTAATTAGTCTGAATGGAAAAGAAACAAAACAAATGAATGTGAATAGTTTTATTCACATTCATTGGAGTACTAGCTGTGGTTTTCTTTAGCCGTAGTAATCATAAATATTAAGGTATAGCTAATACATTTTTAAATCCTTTAAAAAATGGAAATTTGGGACAGTGGAAACATGCAGATTCTTATTAAATTGCACTACGCTGGTTCCCATTTGCTGTATTTTAATGGAATGGTAAATGGACTGCACTTATATAGCGACTTTCTATCGTATCCAGATACTCAAAGCGCTTTACAACACAATCTGTGACCTTATTTATCCATTCATGCAGCACTCTACTAGAACTCTACAAAGCTAATTGTTGTACTCTTTAACAGATCATGGCAACAATTTGCTAAAACTTCCAGTTTGTAATTATATTTGTTTTATATGCATTTTATGGCTGTTTATTGTTGTGTGTATCTTATCTGTGGTTTGTCTAAAACAGGTCTCTCTTGTAAATGAGTCCTCGCGACCCAGCGAGACTAACCTGTATAAATAAAAGTTGAATGAATAATCAACTAAATATATTGTGTGACTAAAGAGATTGTGCCATAGCTAAAGTGCATAAATGTTTGTTTTTGTCAAGTCCCATATCATGTTTAATTTTTATTACGTCTTCTGTTTTAAAGGGTCCAATGCTGCAACTTTAGTGTTTGTTCAGACCGGAGGAGATGTTCAACTTAATGTGACAGAAACTGATGTCCCCCAAGATTTTGATTTTCTTTTATGGATGTTTGGAACAAATGTAGTGGTAACATTTTATTCACGTTCAAAACCAAACATTAAAAGTGCTTACTCTGGGAGAGTGGAGCTTTTTGAGAACAAATACTCAGTGAAATTGAAGAATCTACAAAAGGAAGACACTGGAATTTATACCGCACGGGTAACAGCTGCTGAAGAGAAAATAGTGACTGAACACAACGTTACAGTTCAAGGTAGGTT